AATGTGGTTTGGCCCAGTTATGTGACTTGTCTGAGGATATATGCTTGGTAAGAAATGGAACCAGGAGTCAGACACCAGGTCTCCAAAGCCCACTACGTGGCAGCGTTGGGTGTTGGTGTGGTGAAGAAATCAGAGTGGGCACCAACACTGATGGAAGGGACTCCCTCCAAGGCCACTCGGGAAGGGCCCAATGGGAAGAAATGAAGTCACCTATGGTATGGACTTTCCCAGTGTCAGCACAGAGTCTGCTAAAGTTCCCCTTTGGGCAGTTTCCCAGTAAATGTTGTAGGGTGTATACAGCATATTCTAGCTCCTGAATCCATCATGGTCAAGAGCTACCCCAAGTACCAAATGAATAAAAAATTATACACAGCTCATTTGGTCCCTGAATTTGTTTGCTAGGAAGGCTGGAACATAGTCCCATAGACTGGTAGTGCCCACAACAGAAATCTGTGACCTCACAGTCAGTGAGGAAGGCTGGAAGTCTGAAATCAAGGGGTTGGTGGGGTTGGCTCCCTGAGGGCTGTGAGAGAGGATTTGTTCCAAGCATCTGTCCTGGGCTGGCAGGTGGCTACCTTCAGGTGTACACAGCGTCTCCCTCAGTGCGCATCTGTCTCCACAGTTCCCCAGTCTTCTGGGTCCACCCTGACGACCTCATTCTAACTTGGACACCTATATGAAGACCATGACCCAGCAAGGTCCATATTCTGAAGTTCTGGGAGTTAAGACTTTAACATGGATTTGTTATAGGGGTTGTCACAATTTAACCCTAACAGACACTACTGTGAGGTTTGGATAGAAAAAACCCTAGATACCACTCTCTTTCCCAGGGTGGCTCTCAAAAGAGTCCCCTGCTGGCCTAATGATTCACTTTGAGCAGACCTATGATTCCCTAAAATAAATACTTAAATGGTATTTTTTAATCAGTGGAGGCTATTTCTAGAGGGAGGATTCAATAGGAACCCTGGCTGTTAATTTAGCTTGGCTTTCTGGCTTTTTTTCAAATTTCAGGTAAAATGCCTATGCTCCAAAACCCTCTGAGATTCACTTCTTACCACAAAACAAAAGATGCCAGATATGTCAGCTTAATTTAATTATCCCCATTGCATTTACGACTCATCATATTATTCTGTACTCCATAAATACATATAGCTACACTTTGTTAATTTACAATAGATACAATAAATAATAACATAAAAGAGCTATTCCAACATGATGATGACCAGTCTTTTCCATGTCCCAGGCCCAAATGGGAATAATGAGGCAGATGGCTGGGCATCAAACTTCAACACAAAACAACAACTGCTTTCTAATAGTTTGTATTATTCATCTGTGAAACTCTTGACTTTCTAAGCATGATATCAAAAACAGAAAACAAAATAAAAAGACTGATTTGGCTTTCCTAAAAAAGGAACAAAATTAAAAGAAAATCTATAAAATGAGAAAGTAAGTGCTAAATATATGGCAAAAAGTTATCCTTATTGTTGATTCATTCAACAGTCACTTACAGAAGGACTGGTCCACCTCTGTTTCCAGGTGCACAAGACAAGGCTCCAGCCCTCATGGAGTACAAAACAACCAAACCTATCCAACCCTCCAAGAGAGAAACAGAACAATGAACAAAAAAAGATATGTGGATGGCCAATAAAGATAATCAAGAATTTGGTAATCGAAAATGCAAATTAAAATGGAATTTTCTTTCTTTTTTTCCTTTCAAATTTTGTGGTATTGACAAGAGGGTAGAATGCGGACTTGCTCACATAATTCTCTGGGAGTGGATTTCACTTAGCTTTCTCAATGGCCAAGCTGAATCTGCTCAGGTGCATTTTAATGCACATTTCTAGGCTCCACTGCAGATTCTGAATCCACCCACCAGAAATGGGATCCGAGAAGTTGCATCTTTTAACCACCACAGGGTATTTTAATGCAGGTTATCCTGGGACTACACTTGCGCAGAGAGCTGTAGATCCTGTGAGGGGCTGAGCCTTCAAGGCAGGGACAACTGCAAACAGTCCTAGCTGTGGAGCTGCCAACCACATGCAGAATGTCACACCTATAATCCTGGCACCCTGGGAGGCTGAGGCAGTGGGATCATAAGTTAGAGCCCAGCCTGGGCAATTTAGCAACTTAGTGAGATCCCGTCTCAAAATGTGAAGAAACACGGAAAGGGACTGAGGATGTAGCTCAGTGTGAAGGCTGGCTCCAATCCCCAGTATTGCAAGACAAAACATTACAAAACATCAGAACACCTTCAATAAGATTTGATTAATTGGTATCAATATTTCAACTATAAGGCACAAAAGTATCAAGTTATACTGGCTACTGGTGGGCCATGAGGCTGGGTCATACACAGTTCAGCTTTTATAATATTTATTCTCTTTGGCCTGGCAATTTAACTTTAAAAGGAAAGTACCCTAAGGACATAATCAGGTTTTATTCAAAACATCGGTAAGATTGCAGAAATTATTCAAGAGTTCTGAATAAATCAGAAGAGGATGAGGGTACTCTTAATAACTTTTCCTTAAAACGCTGCCTAGGAGTAAAGAGCAAGGAAGGAAAGGACCCTCCACTTTGCGTCCAAGAGATCGAAACTTTGTTTTGTAAATGTTTGCTGGTTACCATGGAAACCTCTGGATTTCTCTGTGTAAATGGGAAATTGGGAACTTAGTTCTTTTAAAAAAAAATGATTAGTGTGTTCTTTTTATCCTGGTAAGCTCGTTCTGTGCTGACAAATTACATTCTGACAGCTAGGCTGTAATCCAAAACATGGTTTTTTAGAGACTGTGAAAAATAAAGAATTTCCAGGGGTTGATGGTTACCCTTCACTTGTATTCTTAATGTACGTGCATTTTCTTTCATTGGATTCAAGAGATAAATGAAAAGGCTAAATACTTGGTACATATTTTAAATAACTCATAAATATATCCTCATCTAAAATATCTGACATATCTTGATTTGATTCCTGTGCTCATAGAATAAGGAAAGAACATACACTTCTCACTTAGCTGGGCGTGAAGCTGAACCCTGACTGTGCTGCTTACTACTTGTGTGAGTTTGGGGAAGAAATCTAACTCTTTCAGCCACAGTTTCCATCTATAAAGTAAGAATCAGGACTAAAATATAGAGAGAGCATGTGCAACAATGCTAAGTCTGTTGAACAGGTTCTCAATATAACATGGCACCTGTTATTACCAAAGAAAAAATAAGAGCAGGCACAGAAACACTCCAACTATTGGACATGGTTTCAAAATATCAGATACCAGACAGGAAAAATGTATAAATTAAACAAAAATTAATGCACAACCAGCATGGTTAGGAGTGGACTTCCTTGGATTTCTGTTTTTAAGGATACTGTTATTAGACACATTCATCAGTAAGTAAGAGGAAAAGACTTGGGATTTTGTAAGGTGGAAGATGTGACAGGTGAGTTTCACAAAAGAAGTCCCTCAAAACTCCACAAAACAATGTGGCAACATTGTATTCTGTCAGCTAAATTGAATGCATAACTCTGAAATACTGAATGCTGCTGGAGGTCATGGTGGAACGGGGTCAGGGGCCTGTCACAGTTGAACAAGGAAGGACAAGGCCTCTACTTCTGCATGGATGAGTCACATCTGGAGGGAGGGTGGCATTGAGGCAGGGACAGGTTCTTCCACTTGCTTTCCAGTAGCATTTATGAAGCCACTTTTGCTCTTTCTCGTGTGCCTCAATGTTCTGTACCTCTTGGTTTGCCATTTGTTAAGCTGCATTCAGAGCAAGAGGATTTTAGTGGATCATGCTAAGTCCTTCATCATTATATGCCCTAATTCTTAATCTGCTTCATTCTGTAATCTTCACTTATTTTAACAAACAAGAGCATTACAGATGATCACGTGGGTAAAACACTGAAGCACTGAGCACAAACACAAAATATTCTAAAACAAAACAAGAGATATCCTGAAGTTAAAACTATGTAAACTTTCTTCAAATGAAAGAATTTGAGCACTTAACTACATGTTACATGTGGCACATTATCTATGTAAGCTTGCCAATGTATTGGAAAGTATTAAATTAGTAAACAACAACAACAAAACTAAAGGCCTAGTCAACACGTTGATTTCACTATCTGGATCTGGCTTCCCTTTATCTTTTTGCATCAAAGGCAGTGCATTTGAGAGGGAAACATGGAGCAAAAGAGGTTCCCTTGGTGGACGCAAGCTGTTCTTGGGCTGCTTATCCTCTGCCATCATCACTTGGCATCAGAGAGAAGGTAAAATATGGAACTCAGGAGGCAGGGTTTACAAAGCAAGCCTCAGTGAGGACAGCAGGCTGTTAGGTGGGGGCTGCTCCACCACCACCGCCAGCCCCCCTTCCTTACCGCTCACTGCAGCTGGATGAAGGCTTCAGGACCCCCCATCTCTGACTGGTAACTGGTTAAGGCTTGGGCTTCTGCCGCGCTGGGCTAATCCCAGCTCCTACAATTAAGTTGAATGTCAGACAAACAGTGAATGCTTTTTGAAATAAATATGCCCCAAATATTGCATGGAAATATACTTTTACTACCCACCATGGTAGTGTTCCCAGATGTGCCAACCCATAGAGTACTTCCTGTGTTTAACGTGTTTTAGAATGCTTTACCAATATTAATTCACCAACTAAATGAAACTATATGGATAATACAAGGTTAAGAAGAATAAACTATATATTTTTAAGTTCTGCAAAATACACAAAACTTGCTATAATTAAGATATTTTATAGGTTGTCGTGGATTAGCTGTAAACCAATTTGTAAAAACGTTTAAAAATATAAAAATGAAAATTAAAAGGCACACAATGGAGTAAAGTGGAAAAAGCAGCTGAGAATCCAGAAGTCTAGATTTCAGTCCCTGCTCATTAACTAGCTAGGGAACCTTAGAAAAGTCTCCTTACTTCTCTGGATCAACGTGAGATTCAGATGAGACCATTTTTACCATTCTATCTCTTAGTATTAGAAAAGCAGTATGCACAGAGAAGTTTTATCACCTCTGCAATCATTCTGTTGGTATCTCCTAAGAACAACAAATTCAGAGCTTCTTCTTCTGTCGTTGCCTGATGGAGAGACAGGTTTTTCAGGTGAATGTTCTGATCAGGGTCCTCCAAAATTGTCACTTTCCTAGAGAAATGAGAAGCAAGAAAACAGGGTCCTGTTGAGAAGGAAAAAAATTTGAAGTCTTCCCTACACGATTATTTTTAAAAATTGTATAGTAGCGTGTCTTGAACTTATAAAACTGAATAACACTCAAGATACCAGACAGCACTGGATTAGCATCAAACACTGACATTCCCTTGACAATGTCTGAAATAGCACTGGGTCTAAAAAATACATTACAAGTTTCAGATTTAAAGCTGCCTGTCATTGTAATCAGGTCATTCAATCATCTTAGAAGGCACATTCTTGACCCCCGCCAGCACACAGGAGTTGAGCTGCTCCCAGCGCACAAGAGGAGGCTTCTGGGCCAACGTACCAGCCCTGCCACCAAACAGGAGGTGAGCCACTCCCAGTGCACAAGAGGAGGCTTCTGGGCCACCATACCACCCCCATCAGCACACAGAAGGTCAACCCGCC